ACAAAAGGCCTGGGTGGAATTTGGGATTATTTGTTTATTTCATTAATTTATATACCACCCAATTAGTGAATTAACACTACTAGCTATTCTCCCCTTCAGATTTCCCCTATTCTATAGCTGTTTGTTTTGTATTTTATCCTCTGCTAATTATAGGGAATTACCAAATTTTCACAACATCCCCCTCCCCTAGAATCAGAATGATGTGCAACACTGTTACATATAGCCCGCCCTGTCCTGCCTAAACTAGCCTGCTGCCCTCAAGTGTGAGGGAGGACACATACACTCCTTTGCTGCTGAAGTAAAATTCAATGGCCAATCCACATCTGGCAGCAAAACAATGTAGGCCAGTCCTATGATTCTCTCAGTGAGCAAGACAGAGACTTAAACATCTTGATATTAGAGACAGTAGTAAATGAAGACTGCTTTGTAGAATAATTGTATATGTGTGAGGCTGTGAACATGACAAAGGTTCCCGTCAGCAGGCTGTCTCACCTCCTTCCATGGGCTGCAGAGATTTGGACTGTTCTCCCATAGACCTGGCAGAGGCAAAATCCTTTAAAAGTGCCCCAGAGGAACCCAGCCAGGAAGAGCCTGGACAGCCCAAGGAGGGCATGCTAGCAGAGGTCTTGGAAGGGGAAGCACATGGTGGCAGTTTTGACCCAAAATAGTGACCCCTGGAGGGGAAAATAAGGACTGGGACAATATGGAGAGTGGTCTGGAAGGGAAGGGGCAGTCAGAATGAGAGGAAGGAGATTGCAGAGGACAGCATTCAAACACAGAAGAACTCCTCAATGAGACAGTCAAGGGAGACAAGGAAGTTGATGAAGGATCCGGGGTGTGGGTGTGTGCATTAGAAGACCCTAGTGAGGGATACCAGATGGAGGTACAACTCCCAGAAGAACCCAAGCCCCCTGGGGGCAGGGAGTACATATACAAAGAGGATCCTGGTCCAGCTCCAAGTCCTCTAGATGAAGTAGAGCATCACCTTGATCCTTTGCCACCTCCTTGTCCCTCTTATTGGGGAGAACAGGAATATACAGAGAGGAGATGCTGGACTGAGGAAAGTATGGCAGGGAGCCAACAGCAACACAGCAGGGATACAGGCAACGGCAAATGGCGTGCCAAGCACAAGAACAAGCAAGATGAGAGGAAAGCAAACTGAGACATCATCCCTACTGCCCTCAGTGTGAGTATATCATCCATCTCTATAGTATTGCAGGCCTCTTGCTTCAGCTCAGTGGAGAGATCTCCATTAAGGAGCAAAGGACAGGACTCCCAGTGAAGTTACCTGGGGAGGAGAGAAGGACTTGAACTCTGGGAACCTTGCTGATGGTGCCCAGGTAGTGTCATAAAATAGCCTGGGCACTATTGAGGACCATCTGTGAAAACCCCCCATCCTGTTAAAATAGCCCCCATTTTGTTTCAATCTGCCGTATTAGGATCGATGGATCAAGGAATGGAGCAAGGAGGTCCTGTCCACCCAGCCAGGGCTGGCAGGGTTCACAATCTGTCTGGCTCTTATTAGAAGTATCTTTCCTAAACCTTTTTTAAAAATGGAGACAAAAGAACTTGCACAGGCTGAAATCCTACATGGTCTGTGGTTTTATCTGGGATGGGAAACAGGGCAGAAACACAGGATCAAGATTGAGTGTTATGTGCAAATGTGTACTGTTTTCAAACTTTTCTACTTAATCAGACTGTCCTGGGCAAATCATCTATTAGTAGAGAATGTTTGGAATACCATGTGTGGTATAGTGGATAGACTAGGACTCAGGAGTCGTTTAGTTGTGCCCGACTCTTCGTGACCCCATGGACCAGAGCACGCCAGGCTCTCCTATCTTCCACTGCCTCCCGGAGTTGTGTCAAATTCATCTTTGTCGCTTCGCTGACACGGTCCAACCATCTCATCCTCTGTCGTCCCCTTCTCCTCTTGCCTTCACACTTTCCTAACATCAGGGGCTTTTCCAGTGAGTCTTCTCTTCTCATGAGATGGCCAAAGTATTGAAGACTCAGCTTCAGGATTTGTCCTTCCAGTGAGCACTCAGGGTTGATTTCTTTTAGAATTGATAGGTTTGTTCTCCTTGCATTCCAGGGGACTCTCAAGAGTCTCCTCCAGCACCACAATTCAAAAGCATCAATTCTTCAGCAGTCAGGACTCAGGAGGCCGGGGTTCAAATCTCAGCTCGGCCATGGAAACTCACTGGGGAGTAGAACTGGTAAAACCACTCCTTCAATATGTCACTTATCTTGAAGAGCTCTATTACGGTCGCTTTAATTCAGTTCTGAACTGACAACACACAAGAAGAAGAGAGAATGCTTGAGTTTAGCCAGAAGGCCAAGAAGCTTTCTGTGTAGCTTGTATCTCAACCATTTGGGGATATATGTATGGCCCTGATTTATACAGAGAGACTTAAAAATCTGAAAAGTCTGAAATGTCAAGTCTCTCTGTGAAAAAATGCCGTAGAGTAGGCAATTATGATCCTATTTACAGAGAAAGACATTCTAGGGAAATGACCCCCCTTCCCAATTTTCTAGTAATCAGCCAAAGTCAGAAACAACTATTTATAAACTATTTAGTTCATTTCCCCAATAACAAAGATGTCATTAAATTTCAGCTGTAATTTAGAAAGAATTAAATTCACTGTATTTTGCTGTGTACAGGCTTGTCAAGATGGACCATTTACTCCTGTAAACAGAAGTATCCTGTCCATTGCTTCTAGCTTTAATGTTTTTCTTGCCATCCAGATAACACAAAGCTTGCTTTAAATTCCCTGCCTTTCTATGCTTTTTTGTTCTTCTTGACAAGGTGGTTTATTTTGTTCCAGGATTTGTTCCGTAACAGAGCTTAATGCTATGGTGCATGTGCAAATATGTTTAATCAGAGAATTGAATGTACCTGCTATATAAACTTACCTGTTTCTGACATACATAGGGCTGCTTTGTTTAACTTATTTGCAATTGGTTATAAAGATTTTTCCCCTTTACAATTTCTGCCAATATAAGGACTTTCCACTTTTCAGAAAATCATACATCTCCTTGGAGACAAATCAAACCGAAAGAGAGAGAGAAAAAAATTATTGTGGCACCTTAAAGACATACTGCCATTTTTTAAAATTGTGTTAGTCTTTAAGGTACCACTTTTTTGTCTCTTCAGATTCCAACATTTAAAGCTCTAAAATAGCTGGAACCAATAGGACTTGTATGGTGTGAGTTCTGAACTGGGTAAGCCTGGCTTACAGTGTTCATTTTTAAACCTTTTTCTTCCTGACTTAAAGAACTGCCTGACACACAATAATTTTACATGTTTAATCAGCATGGATCTCAATGCCAGGAAAACAGTATCTACTGAACAGCAGTGTGCCAGTTTGCAATTAAAAATACAGAAGTCTTAGTAAAAATAATTTTTAAAAATGCTAAGTATATACTCAAAACAACCCTGTGGGTCACTTGATGGATTTTAAGCAGATACTGGAAAAGTGTGGGGTTTTTTTACTATAATCCCCAGACTCCTACCTACCTTGCTGTGGGGTGCTGGAATTTGCAGTCCAAAAGCCTAACGTTTTCAATCCTTGACTTTCAGTTATGCTGCTCATTGTTTCCTTTTAAATGGATTGTTATACATTACTGCATTTAATGTGTTTTGGTGTTGCTTACATTATTTTAGTATTAAATTCATTTGATCATTTTAGTATTGTATACTCACTATTGCTAGTTTAAATACTGTCTTTTAATTGCTGTAAGCTGCCTTGGGTCCTTTTAAAGGAGAAAGGCGGGTTATAAATAAATAAATAAATACATTTTCTGACACACTATTTACTGGTAGTTTCAAATTAAAAGTTCCAAAGTGGGGAGCAGAAGATGCCTCACCTGGAAACTACAAGATGACTTGAAGTCTTCTCACTTTCTGGACTATAAATACTGAACAGTGGTCACAGGAATGTGGGTGGGTTTCACAAGGAAGGTGACAAATGAATTCAGCTGATACCCAGGAGTACCATTGTTTCACTGGGATCTGACCTGGAGCCTGAACTCAACTGCAAGCCAGAATCCTGCAAAGACCACTTACCAAAAGCAACCAATCTATCATTTTTATTTTATTCCGCCACAAGGTTACTGGGTACAGTACTTAACATTTGTATGACAGGATTCTTAAAACCTGGACGGCTGCGGAGAGGGGTAGGAGCTGAATTTTTGCCAGGAGGTGTAATAGACTGAAAGACCTATGATCTCAATTAAAGAAAAAGAAACTCCCGTTTGCTGCGGTGGAAGGACGTAACCTGTTAGTGAAACATACACGAATGCCGACTTTCCAATGTTGTGTAGCTCCGTCTTGGAAAATACGAGTCCCTGAAAAACTGCTGAAATGTCACCTTCCAAAAACCCAGAGAGTGAGGCAAACCTTTACTGTACTTCCGGTGAAAAGCGGGTGCGGTGTGTGGATCGAACTGTAACCGGCAAATCTATGAACGCCAGCCTAACGTTCCCACTGAATGCTGTTCGTCTCAGAATTCAGAGAAGAGGAGCCGAGCGACCGCTGACTCCTAAGCACACTTTTAAGCGCTCCCAATGAACTCCGTGGGAATAGATTTAAGAATAAAACCGAGGGTAGGGGAACCTGCAAGGCTAAATCTTTATACAAAGCCAGGCTGCAATCCTCTACTCTTACCTGGGAGTAAGTCCCACTGATCTCAATATGACTCGATTTCCGAGTAGGGAGGCATAGGATTACTGCTTCACCGGGGGATAAGAAACTTTCCTGGAACACAGTGGGATTTCCTTCCTAATAAAGACGCAACAGCCTGCTTGGTCTGAAAAATCTCATTGAACTCCGGGTGAGTCTTGCTTCCGAGTAAATACAGGGAAGCTGAAGCTGCAAAGAAGGCAAAGCCTCTTTCTGGCGCTCGCAAACACGCTCGCGCCCCCCCTCACACACACACACCCCCGCCGCCGCGAGAGCCACGTGTGCCTTGGGATCTCTCGCGGCCCTCCCGCCTCGTCGTCTCGGGAGGCGCGCCGGGGCTCGAGCTTTGCGCAAGGAGCGGTTTAGCCGCAGAGGCCCTGCTTGCTTTCGCCTCTTGCAGGTGGGCGGCGGCGGCGGCGGCGCTCACCAGCGCCCCTCAGGACCGAGCTCCCCCTCGCTGCCTCCCTCGCTTTCACCCACGGAGAGACAGAGAGAGGGAGGCTGCTTGACGGCAAGGGGGCGGCGGGCGCCCAAGGCGCCCCCCCCGGCTAAGCCTGCAGGGCAGGCGGCGCAGGCAGAAGCGGTAGCTGCTCAGAGGAGTCCACTTTTTTTCCCCTTTGACCTCGCCTCCGGGCCGGCCACCGGAGCAGGAGGAGCCCCACTTGCCCACCCTGACGAAGGCGCCCGGTAAGAAACATTCGCCGCCGGCTTTGGGCACCGGAGGGAAGGCTTCCCTCGTCTGGACGGACTGTCGGGAGGGAGAAAAGGCAGCCGAAAGCGTCCTCCCCTCGCGCCGGTTTGGCTCCTTCTGGGGCTGACAGGGCTCTCCGTGGACCTTTTTACGTCATGGCTTGAAACTCCGCAGACCAACAGGTGTGGTTTCGGGAGCAGAGCGACGTTAACTCCCAGGGAGAGAGCTTTCCCTGTTGAACAGATCCCTCTGCCGCGGAACTGTTGGCGAACGAATGGCACGCGAACTTGCAGAGCAAATTGTATGACAAGTGATACGTGTGTCTGTTCCCTTAGACAAGGCTCTCGGCTGGAGAATTGGGCTGAATCTATGCGTGTCGGGGGGGGGGAAGGCACCGAGTTACAGTACTGTATTTTGTAGTGCCCGCCTAGCTTCTCTGTTACTTTGTAGTCTCATCCTTTAATATTTCTGCTTGTGCTGGTTTGCCAAAAAAAAAAAAAATGGAAATAGGCTTGTTGTGGGTTTTTTGGGGTCTTTGCACAAATACGGCCAAAGAGCCCGAAAAATCCACAACAACCGTCAGATCCCGGCTGTGAAAGCCTTCGAGAATACATTAAAATGGAAATAGGAAATCTAAAATGCATTAGTGTGCTTCATCTGAAAGATGGGTAATTGTTCCTAGTTTGTTTTTTAAAGGCAGGATAGAATATAATAACTATTGTATAATACTTAATTTCTTGAGAATACTAATGCAAACATCTTTATACACACAGAGATACATAACTATATGCATTTTTATGTATAGTGTAATCTCTTGATACATCGTCTGTGGATGAGATCATGTAGACAAGTTGTTGGCTTTTCTGTTTATTTCTAATTCTTGTTGTCATTTTGGTACATTGTAGTAACTTGGATCATGTTAGATGATCAGTAGTAGCATCCTAATCAGGGGTGGGCTCTCACTTCCGTGAGTGAGGTAATGTGGCTTGGCTAAGTGTAGAAGAACTATGTGGCACCTTTGATAGTTGAGCAGAAAAGGCAGTGACAGCAAGTGCTGTGTGTATCACAAGCCAGACCTTCTCAGGTGTGCTCCTCTACATGGCTACTTAAGGTGCAGGAGCCTCACCCTTTTGACATCTGCCGCCCTAAGGACATATAGTGTAGTTCTTGCATTGAGGACATAAATACTATTCATGTGATTATTTGCTCCTTGTGTTATCACACAAAACTGTGCATCTTGGTTTGGTTTTTTTTTTTTTGAGGGGGAACAACAAAATGTTGCAGTACTTTCCCATCCCTTTTCTCCTTTTTAAAAAATCTCAGTCTACTGTTGATATAATGTGAGAAGACTATAAGCCACAAACCTGAGCATTTTTTTTTTTAGTTATATAACTATTCAGGGCATGAGGAAAAGGTTCTTTTTCCTGTTTATTGCCTTTCTGAAATGACACTGTATAAAGGAGGGACAATTTTTTTTAACATCATAGCATTCATTCTGCCTTCCACTTACTTTAGCTTGTCAAGTTCTTGACTCATTTTTATAACCATATGGATTGTTTTTCTCTGTCACCACCCAGTCGTTCCATGCCTCAGGTTGTTCTTAGCCATGAACTTCCTTGGTAGATTCACATAAGTTTTATACATGTAGATGCTAAAAGATTTGTGAGCTACTTAGAAGCTCCACCCATCCCTTGCAACATCTCTGTCCTTTCCCTAGATCCTGCTGTGTTGAATTTCGATTTCTGATGAAGGCTTCTGCTTGCCTTGGTCTGAATACAAGGGGTGCTCCTCCTATCAGAGTTTGTGACCTGTTCTTAGTGGACAATTCTATTCACATTCAATTGAGTCCTCATAGAACGCCTGTTGAGGCCTTGCTACTCAACTTGGCAAGGGTGGAAAGAGGAAGAGATGGCCTAAGACACAGAGTGACAAGGTTATAACGTGTCCCTCTTCATCATCAGCCTTCTAGTCCCTCTGCATACAGACTGAGCACCAAGACAGGGGTCTAGCTTGTCCAATTTCAGATTTCTTAGTCTCTTTCCTGCTCCTCATTTTTCCCCCTGTTGATTCAACTCTTGTCAAGTGCTTTTTTCAGTCCCAATCTTAGATCTTAGAACTGCAGAGCTCAAAGGGACCCTAGGAATCATCAAGTCCAGCCCCTGTCAAGGAGGGACAATAGGGAATTGAACTCCCAACCTCTGGCTCCACAGTCAGATGCCTAAACCACTGAGCTATCCAGCAGTTAGATAACGAAGCATGTAGCTTCATTTATTTATTTAAATATTTTTTATCTAGCTTTACTTAAAAAAAAAAAGAAGACCCAGGGTGGCTAAATAGCTTTATTTACTTAAAAAAAAAAAAGAAGAAGAAGACCCAGGGTGGCTAAATAGCTTTAGAGGCTATTTATTGATGTAATTTCTATCCCATGTTCTTACCTCTGAAATGTGGTTCAAAACTGTTAAATGAGGAAAGGAAATGATAGTTGAAAACAGAATATATTGATTGAAACAGTCATCAACTTTAGAAGCAATTGCAAATAAATTGATTAAGCATTATGTTCCTGGCAGCTTTTTTTAAAAAAAAACTCTGCAAGCAGATATACTTCATATATAGAGCACTTCCTAGTTATGTACTAATATTCTTTTAAGTTGCCTGTTTTGCCCCCACCATAAAATTATCATCAGCACTCAGCTTCTTGAGTTGACTATATATTATTGTACCCAGCTACAATGGCAATGAAAATTTCCATAATCTCATTTTATTTTGGAAACTATTCAGGGATGTGCCTGGGTAGTGCTCGGATGGGACACCTCTAGGAAATACCAAGGATCTCCAGATAGGGCTGGGAGAGGATTCTGCTTTGAAACACTGAAGAACTGCTGCCAATCAGAATGGTCAATTCTAGGTCAGTCTGTCTCAATATATGATGGTTTACTATGTCCCTCTGAAGTACAGTGAGATGACTAGCCCAGTGTGCAGATTCCATCATTTATGGCAAGTCCTTATGGACACTTTCCCTCCAAAGTACAGTGAGATGCCCAGCCCAGTGTATTTCATCATTGATGGCAAGTCCTTATGGACACTTTCCCTCCACATAATAATGCTAACATGTATGGTTACTGTTCTTCATGAATGAGTTCTGCAAGATTCTCAGATACCCCAAATCAGCTGTTAATTTCCAGACTTCTACCTTTTTGCATTTACCTGGATTACGGGTGGCCAAAGTGTAGCCCTTCACTGTTTTAGTGCAACTCCTCTTATTCCTCGCCATTGGTGATCTTGGCTCGGAGTCTGTAATCCAACAGCTTTATGTTCTGCTTGTCTCTGAGGGCCTGTGTTTCATATCAGTGGTGCTTAATTTCTCTATTTCTTTTTCTTCTAAAGTAGGAGATTCCCAGAAGTGAGGTACCCAATTCAAAAGCCAACAGTAGAAATGGTTTTGATTATATTCCTGGGAGGGACAAACACTCAGCACATGTTCAGAGCTGTACCTGTAGCGTGTGAAGCAGGAATGTATTGGATGCCAACTAGAAATGGTGGAAAATAAAGTGGGAGAGCAACCAAGTTTAGAAGAAGATTGTGTGGTAACCCCATTAAAAGAAATAGTAGAATATTTGGGGCTTTTTAACTGAGAAAGAGCAAATGGTAGGTAGATTATACAGATGAATAAAGTTACTGAGGGTGCAGAATGGAGATATTTTTCCTTCCATTTCTCATAACACTAGAACCCAGGATGGGAGAATTGGAGCACATGAGAGGAAATAAATTCACTCAGTGTGTGGTGGTTGGCCTGTGGAATTTGTTTGTGCAAAATGTGCTGGCCACTGACTTGGACAGCAGTAAAAGGAAATGAAACTGTGAAAGATAAAACTTTTGCTGACTACTAGACATGATGGCTACACATTGCCTCTTATACCAGTATAAGGATACCGCTGGGTATCGGCTGCTGAGGAGCTAGAAAAGGCAGGTGCTGCTGCACTCATATCCTGCTTGTGTATTTCTCTTAGGGATCTGGCTGGTCACTGTGCATAAAGAATCTTGGACTAAACAGACCTCTGGTGTGATCCACCAGGCCACTTCCTTATTTGCCTACAAACTGAATAAATAATGGCATCCAGACTTTTAATATAAATATTTTAGTTCTTTCTCTTGTCTCTAATCAAACCTCAGCTGAGCTGAGTTCTCCCACAGTAGCAGAGAGAAATAGCAATGACAACACAACTGTAGCACATTCAAGCCTAGTGAATTTTATACAACACTTGTTTTCATGGACTTTAGCTCACACAACTGCATCTGGAGCTACAGGGTGAAGTCCAGGAATGCTTGTGTTGAATGATACTTGTTTGCCTTTATGGTGACACAGAACTCCTTGTTACTGATGCAACAGATGCAATGTGACTACCCTCTGGATGGCAGACGTTTCCAGATACATGGCCTAGCAAAAAAGATTGCAAATCCCTTGTTTTAAGAAATAAAATTATTTTAAGTGTTAATCTTATGACTTGCAACATTGGGTTACATATCTACCGGGTTCATATCATTCTCAAATGATAGAATTAATCTGTCCTCTTTTAGACAAAGTATAGCTGGAATCTGAGTTACTAAGGATGTTTCTAAGCCTGGTTACAAAAACCTTTCTCTCCAAATAAATAGAGAATAAGATTATACTTAGAACTATTCTGTCATTTGAAGCTTGAATCAGATTTGTTTAAATTGATGTGCTGTAAAAATGTAAAAACTGTACTGGCTGTCAGACCTGCAGCGAGTGTTTGTGTTTTCCTCCGCATTTAATTGCTAAGCGAACAGCATTTGTCCATGGAAACATAATATGAGAGAAGTTTTGCCCTCATATCCTGGGAGATAAGCCCAACTGAATAGAATAAGGCTTCTTTCTGAGCAGATGTGGATTGGACTGCACATACTCTGTTGAAGATGTATTTGTACCTTATGTAGACATCTACATACACCATAGACATCTCAGGTGTAGATAAGATTAAAGGCATTAACTGACCTCTGTTAATGGTTATTTTGGTCTATCCTTTGAAGGTACTAAGTCATGGATACAGTTACTATCACCACAAAATTGGAAGATATGGAAGTCTTCAGGGCTGATCCTCTACCAACATCTGGAAAGACATGACACTGATTTAGTACAACACGATTTCTCTGTTGGGGCACCATTAACCTTTATTACCATTGGTGTCTCCCAGTTCCATTGCACTTTGTTGAAATGGCAGTCTTCTGCATACAGAACTTGAGAGTAAGTATAATTGAACACAGTGAATATAATTTCTAAGCAAATCTGCATTATTTGGGGTTACAGGACACCCAAGGATTTTGTGTCCCAAGTCATAGTGTAACAGAGAGCCTTTCTTGGAGTTTGCCACACCAGCTTAGAGCTCTTTTCCTCCAGAGGATTGCTCTTCCTGATTAGCTTGAATCATATGCAAAACAGCTTTTAAAAATTATTAGTGCTGATTGGAGCACCACCATGTGGAAGAGACTTTTGGAGGTGTTAATTCTCAAGGCCCTGAAGAAGAGTGTAAAGAGACGACAAGATCAGATTATTTCATAATAAATATGCCTCTGAAAAACAAATCAAGCAAAAGAGCAGGTGAAGAAACAATCTGTAGTTTATGTGATTGCTTTTTATTAATGTGCTATATTTTTGACAGTGAGTTACTACATAAGCACAAGACAGCAGCTCCCTGTTGTTCTTCTGCCAGCAGGCAAAGACCTTCCTAATCTGGCAGAACTTCAACAACACACTGGCTGCTAAGGACAGGGCTTTGAATGGGTGTACAATGCTTCTTACTTTTTAATTATTATTGTTTTTGACTTATGTACTTCAAAACTATTTTAGCTCAACTGTTTTAATATGTCAACCTTTTAAACTATTTGAATCTTATAATTTACTGTGCGTTTTTTTAATTAAAAAGCCTGGTTTTTAATCATGTTGTGAGCCACATTGTGTCGTTTTTCTGGGAAAATCAAATAAATATGTTATAAATCTTTGTCTGGTGCCCCCTGTACTTTCCTTCTTTCCCCGTTCTTATTTGATAACACTTGGCAGATTGCAGCTATAAAAGACAGCATTTCAGAGATCTTGCTGTCACTTTTCTGGATTTACACAGTGTAAGAAACCAGAATAATTAGAAATCTGTTCACAGCAACTTCAAATGTGGGGACCTCCTGATGGAAGACTACAACTCCTGGTAGCCCTTGCCACTGATGAGAGGTTATGGGAGTTGTAACCAAAAGTATCTAGAGGGTCACAGTCCCCCACCCACTCCCTGCTTTAAACTGATAAGCAATCTTCTTCATAGTAGTTTACATCCTGAATATATATACTTTAACATGGATTCCTACATTGAGGAAGAGGGTGAACTCAATGGCCTTATAAGCCTCTTCCAAAGCCATTATTCTATGACTCTTTCAAAGTTTATGGTGTATCCTCAACATTTGTTTCCTATGGCAGTGGAGCAAGAAATATTGTGTCAATGTTCCCTCTGATTTTCAGCCCCACTAGGTGAGGCTCTGCCCCCTATGTGTGTGACTTTGCCCCTCTGCACGTTGAGTTCCATTGCAACTGGAACCAAAGGGGCTGAAAACAATCACTGTTGGTGTGCACAAGAGGAGGAGGAAGGCTGCATGGAAGGGGACAGAGTTGCGCACATGCAGGCGCGCTCCTTAGAGGGAACCTTGTTCAGAGTATTGCACGTGAACATGTAAATGTTCAAGTGAATGAAGCAATATATATATATATTTCTAAATACTGTATAATAAATGCAGTTCATTCTGAATTAAAAGAAATCAAAGGCTGCAGCCTTAAAATTGCTTTTGTGCGTAAAGGTACGTCCTGCCAAACTCAGTAAGAAAGACAACACATGTATGATAGGGATGTTGCCATTATGGGTATACCAATCCTGATTGTGAATCATATTTTTTTATCCTAGGGTAGTAACTACAAAAATTACATTGCCAAAACAATGGAGCAGATCTGCCAGCTAAGAATGGATCAGATCCTCCACAGTTTTTTTTTTTGTTTTTTTTTTGTGAGTGCACAACTTGGACTTCTGCAGGAAATTGCAGGGTAGACCAAAAGAATGGAACACATCTGCCAGCTAAGGATGGATCAGATCCTCCACCATTTTTTTTTGGTTTTTTTGTTTTTGTTTTTGTTTTTGGTGAGAGCACAGCTTGGACTTCTGCAGGAAATTGCAGGGTAGAGAAAGAGAAAATGGAATAATACTGCAATTCAAGCATGAGATTAGATTTGTGGTCCTATGGCCATGTACAGGTTTTATCTGATTATTTTGTCAAATAACTTTTACATTGAGTTGGCAAAGGATATATTTAATTAAAGGCCTAAGTCCTTTAAACATTGTGTAAAAATCGAGAGAGCAAAATAGTAAATCTGGTATAATAAATTGGTTAGAGCACTGGACAGTCCTCAGAAATGCAAATTCTGGTTTCTACTGAACCATGAAATGTGCTGAACAACTTTGGACCAGTGTGAGAAAGAGGATGAGCAGGAGACCCTTCTTAGTGGTGTGCCGTCCCCTCACCCACTTGGACCTGACAAAGGTGTAAGGAAACACAGGGACCAAAAGATCTGATAATGGACCTGGAGGGGTTAACTGGGGGTGGGGGTGGGTGGGAAAGAAAGGACCATTAACAGAGGAGGGATTGGTGGGAAAGAAGGAATATAAAGCTGAGGTGGTCACTGAGGAAGGAGTAGAAGGATCTTGGCTAGAAGAGACAGATAAAGAGAAGCAGCAGAAAGAGATTGGGTGGAGATAGTAAAGGACCAGAGAGTGGGTCCAGTTCAGAGTGTCAAGGGAGGTGGCAGAGAAAGAGTAGCCGACCTGTACAGGAACCTCCATCCCATTAAGATGGTATTTAACACTGACAAAATTAAATAAAATTAACACTAGTCATCTGAATGTCTGTTGGAAATGTGAGAAGGAAATTGTTACATACTTTCATATGTGGTGGGAATGTGAGAAAGTACAAAGATTTTGGAAACTAATCTTTAAAGAATTAAATGACATATGTGAAAAAGATTTAATTTTTAATTTAATCCTGAGATAGCTTTGTTATCAACATTTGAGACTGTGGAATATGATAAGATGACTAAAGAATTGATTACGAATTTATTAACAGCAGCTATATTAATAATAGCTAGGCAATGGAAATCAAAATCTGAATTTTGAATGGATGAATGGTATAATGAAATATGGAATATAGCTATAAATGATAAGCTAACTTGTAATGTACAGGTTAAGAAAGGAGAGTTGAAAAAGAATAATTTTTATGATATATGGGGCAGATGTTTGGAATATGTGTTAGCAAGAGGAAAAGGAAAAGCTCCAAATCAAGAATCAATGCAGTTCTAGAGAAGAGGACAATAATAGAAGAAGAAGAATATACAGTGGTGCCCCGCATAGCGACGTTAATCCATTCCAGGATTAACGTCGATATCCGGATTAGTCGCTATGCTGGGGGGGGAACCCCATAGGAACGTTTAATGCGTTCCTATTGGGGAAAAACTCACCGCTATGTGGGGAATCCTCCATCCGGCCGCCATTTTTGCCACCCGGTAAGCGAGGGCAGGGTGCGAAAATGCTGCAGGTGGCCATTTTGTTGACCTGGCTGCCATTTTGGAACCGTCGATCAGCTGTTCCCAAAACATCGCAATGCGATGTTTTGCCTATTAAGACATCGCAATGCAATCACATTAGCGATCGCAAAAACCACGTCGCTATGTGGATTTGTCATTAAATGGTGCGCTCGTTAAGCGAGGCAACACTAGATGGAGCAAGAAGATGATTATTTCAAGAGGTCCCAACTGTGGTGATGGGGAACACAGTTAATTTGTATTTGGTTTATGTATTTTATGTTTATGTTATAGTTAAAAAGAAGAAGAAGAAAAGAAACCCCCGTACTATGGAGAGACTGCCAGTGAGGAAAAAGGAGTGTGAAACAGAGGCATGGAATAGGGAGAACCAAACATGGCCAACTTACCAGGGGAGCAGTCCTGGGATGAGGCCATTCTCTCCCAAGAAACACCAGGATCCAGGTCGGAAGGTTTAAGAGGAAAGTGGGAGGTTGGATGTATTACTCTGAGTAATTCAGAAGGAGGAGTTGCTGGGATTGGTCAAGCTGTTCTCATCCAGTGCACTCTTACCCCTAGTGGGTGGTTCCCCCCCCCCGTGACAAGGGGATGTTGGAATGGTTAAAACGCCAAAGTTACAGCCGGGCAAATATGTTAATACGGTTGGAACAGTTAAAGTTGAGTTGAACCCCTTTTCTCCTATGTTAATCACTTCATGATTCTGCGGAGAAAGGTGGCCCAAGAGGGGAGGTGGTTGCTAAAGACCCTCGCAGCCAGTCATACTTCTTTCAGCCTGACCTATCTCACAGAGATGTTGTGAAAATAAATTAGGCAGGAAAAGAGCTGATATGTTACTCGGAGCTCATTGGAGGATAACTTAGGATATCAGTACAGCTAATAACCAATACATTTAAGATGAACCTTGTACAGACCATTTAGAGAGAGAGAATAAGCAGATTGTAGGCACTGATTCCTGCAGCTTGGGATGTTAGGTCTAAAAATTAATTTGTTGATGTTAACTGCTAAAAATCATAGCATATATTTGTTGTTGCTAACATTTAAACCTGAAAACATTTAATCCATTGAATTAGCACTATTAATTCATTAATTAAAATAAAACAGTGGTGTTTATAGATGATTTTTTTTATTTATTAAACTTATACCCCACCCATCTAGGCACATGTCTACTCTGGGTGGCTAACAATAAAAATAGAATAAGAACAGTACTGTATAATAATAATTAAAAAAATGATGGCATGTAGATTGTGACCACAGACCCCGCTAATAACACATCTGTTGTTGGCTTCTTCAGAAGTGCTCTTTTTGTCACTTTGGAGCTGTCTTCCTCAATTAAGCCTTTTTTTTTTCAGATGGACTGCAAATCCTATAATACAATAGTTCTCCCCTGTGGGGAGATTGTTGGGTTGGGGAGAAAGAGGGATACACACACCTCTGAAAAGACTAACTGATTAATTTAATCAATTTCTGTATTTCTACAGAGACATTTAGAGGAGGGATCATGCAAATCATTGGAGCATACTTAACCTTTCACTTCCTCTTTTTTCTTCAAATGCAGATTTCTAAAGCATTTTCCCAGTCACATTATCCACAAGAGACTGGAAACTAGTAACCTTCACTTGTTCCCACCAAGTGGTAGTTGTAGTAGGCATTGGTTGCTGTCATCAATTTCTCTGGAAGATTACATCTGGGGCAAGTTGAGCAGCTTTTCGTTAGGACTGTTTTTAGGGAAAGCTTCTATAAAGTTCTGCTAAAAAAGTACATATGAAAATGGTCAAAGGACCGTTGGACGATCCAGAAGGTGGTACCAGCCAAGTCAGTGTAGTAAATGTTGCTTTTCCTCATCTCACCAAGCCATGTGTCCTGGCTGTAAATTGTGTCAGTGGGATAGCTGGGAAAAGCTGCCCATATTATTCTAAAACTGAGCTACAGAAAAAGTGGTTCTTTCACTCCAGGAACCAGAAACATGTAACAAACAGAAAGCATCACATTGATTTTGCTTCGTTATTTTGCAGAAAACAAAATGACATAGTTTCATCTTCCTTATGACATTAGGTTGCAAAGAAGCTGCTTGGAACACAGTAGTCCTTACAAGACAGGGACTTTTCAGTTTCTTGATTCTGGACATGAAAATGTGGACCAGGAATAGATTTAAATTGAGCCAATGGTTTTTTTTTTTCAGATTTTTTAAAAAAAATTTAACATAAGGGGTGACAAAGGGAAAAGGGAGTTGGGATTATTTATGGGGAAGAGGAGAGACCATAACATGCTAACAACCATTCTGTACTTATTGACATATCATAGTTTTAAATTGTTCTGTTTTCTCTTTTCTGCCTTTTGGATTAAGCACACATTTCAGTATATGCTATTTACACGTTGCCTGTTAATTTAGTCCATTTGTTGACTATTGTCGTTTGCAGGGGTTGATCTTTCATGACTTCTGATAAGATATTCATTTCAGCTATTTCCCGTATCTTTTCAATAAGATCTTTTCAGTTTCTTGATGCTGGACATGAAAATGAGAACCAGGAATAGATTTAAATTGAGCCAATGGAGCTGTACAGCTCCTAGTCCCCTCCAGAATTGTGTGGTAGGTTTGGAGTATGGTACTTAGTGGCTTTGTTGATCTTGCTGTGGTGTGCATTAATTGTGTGGTAAGTTGACTCATTGTATTACCTTCCCTAGTGATAACAAGCACTTTGTCAGACATTATTAGCCAGTGTATGTTAAGTTGATTTACTATCAGTATATTTTGTTTGGAACTGATCAGCTTCTGTATTCATCTGTGCTCTGAATAATCCTGTTTCACATTTAGCTTCTATTTCTTGCATTTTGTGCATCTGATAAAGTGGGTCCAAAAAGGCTTATATGACAACCCGTGTGTTTGTCTTCTAGAGTGCTCTGTAACTTAAGGTTTTTCCAACGTACTTACATCACTGCCATGCTGGAAGCACTTACCTTTGTATGGTTGAAGAGGGGGGTGGGTGGGATTGCCTACTTCCTTGTGTATACTTGTTGGCAGCAAATTGCATATTGCTATATCCTTTTCATCTCATATGGGTAGGGAGTTTGGCAACAGTTGGTTTCCAGCATTATCAAAGGATTATGGGTGATCAGCTGCCCATTTAATTAAAGCTGTCATGCAGAACGTTCTTAAATTGGGTATATGAAACTGTCTTTCCCCACTCAAGTAAGCAGAAACTGAGGTTCATCATTAAGACAAATCAGAGTGTCTGCCTTGGATTCTGAGGCACTCATTTTACAAAGCAAGAATAAAAACAAGTTTGAAGGGAAAAGACTGGGGGGGGAGCTTGATTGTTTACAAAACAATTTATATGCACACATGGATATCTTACAAAGAGGCATCCCACATTATCTTCCTCTCCAGCTGAAATTTCTTTCACACCCCGGTGTGCGTGATCAGGGCTGCCTGGAATTCCCTGGCACATCCCACGACAAGCCCAGCCTGATAGAGCAGCTGAAATCTTCCCCAGCTGTACACAATCAGAGTGGGAATCTTCCTGCAGGCCAGGAACAGAATTTATGTGTATGCAGGAGCGGTTGCAAAGCTTGTACCACATTCTTTGAACAAGGTACCCGGAAGAAAATTGAGCAACCTGGTAGGAACTTTCAGACAATCTGTCTTTTTTTTGTCCTGGCTAGGAAAGGCCAAGTGGAGGAGGAGTTGGTTTCCTTTTAAATCCTATGGGTTTATAAAATCTGTTAAGTGTATTCCAATGTATGTTGAAATTACATGTGTTCACATACGTATTTTGGCTGTTACCATTGTTGGAAATTTAAGTGGTTTAGATATCTGGCTATGGAGCCACAGGGTGGGAGTTCTGTTCCCCACTGGGCCTCCTTGGCAGGGGCTGAACTCAATAGTCCATAGGGTTCTTTCCAGCTCTGCACTTCTAAGATGATGATAATGATTCACATGGAGTGTCACAATAGGTGAATATTTGTGCTGCGTCTGGAACCTATCAGCCAACTCACACCTGCTTGGAAGGAAATTTGGTCCAAGGGTAAAAGGAAGAGGAAGAAACTTCAGGCAAGGGAAAGGATCAAATGCAAATCTTTAAGTCTGAAGTCATATTCTGCTTTTAAGTCATACAGTGAGATTCATTTGTTTATAAGTGGTAGAGTATATGTAGCATGGAATTACTGCATGGAGGAGATCCCCCCTCCCAGGGTTCCACCTGCTATTACTGCACCCTTGGGATTTGGCAGTGCAGGAGCAGCAACAAAAAAGAAAAATTGAATAACAATTGTGTTTTTGCCTTTGGTTGACCCCGTCTACTTTGGGGGCAAATGAGCACTATTAGAAAGTGCTAATTGGCTCCCAGTCAAGGAACATACGGTACTCCCCATACAATCTTCTTTAAAATTC